AACTGTGTGGTTTTCAATACAAAAAACTAGATAAAAGAATGGTGATTATGGAGTCGTCTCGAATCGTTGAATTGCGCCAAGGATTTTTGCACAAAGTTAAAATCTATAGAGAGCAGAAAAGAAATCTGATTTACCTGGATGAAACGTGGTATGATACCCATGATGTTGTGCAGTACGGCTGGATTGACGACAGCAACAAGTGCATTTTAAATGCACCATGCAACCGTGGAAAACGAATCATTATTCTCCATGCTGGCAGTGAAAAATGGATTTATACCTAATGCCTTGCTGTTATCTGCCAAAAATATCAAAGAATCATGTGCCGACTATCATGAGGGCATGACCTCCGACTTATTTGAAAAGTGGATAGAGCAGCAGTTAATAAAAAACATTTCCCCAAATTCAGTGATTATTATGGACAATGCGCCATACCATTATAAGGGAATGGAAATACCACAAAAATCAACCAAAGCCATATTATTGGATCTTATTAAAAGACAAAAATTTGAAAAAGAGTATGTTGTTGACAATCTGCTTCAGCAAAATGGCCATGAAGTATTACGTCTACCTCCTATTACTGCATTTTTAACCCGATTGAGTTGGTCTGGGCTGCTTTAAAAAAAAAGTAAGAAAACATAATCAGACCCCTCAATTAAGTGATCGCTATTGGCCACAATAAGAGATGCAGTATCTCATATTGCTGCCACAGACCTATGGAAGCAGTGTTCTAGGCATATTATTGAAAAAGAAAATGAATATTGTGTTTTGCCTCCTGTAAATCCCGTTGTAATTCCTCTACAAGATGACTCTAGCGACAGCTCCGAAGGCGAGGATGATATATAAATACCTATAATGTATGTCTTTATATACCTTTTTATATACCTACCTGCTATGTAAATATTTGCCTGTGTCAAATGTTGGAATTCTGTAATTTTTCCTTTCTTAACTTTCAGTCAACATAAATTAAACTCCCAATATAAGTATTTTTTTATCCCAAATCAAAAAAATAAGAAGATAGTAAAATCCATTTATTGTGATATAAAAACATTATTATTATCGTTCTAAATAAATGACCGCACGCCTATGATACGTCATGAAATTACAAAGGACGCGCCGACCAAAGGTTTTTATGCTATTTCAAGTGACTTCAGATAAAGTATACTTGCTTGGCGATGTACAGACAAAAAAGAGTGCTATCGATTCAAGAGCATGAGTTTCTATGGAATTATGATACCTATAAGGAACGTAGCACTTACAATCGACATTAATTCACAGATATATAAGCCTTAGAAACATACCGAAGTCTCGGTCCTCAATTGAAGATAGTTGTTCGTGAACCAAGATCACTCTTTTTTGTGCGTAGTCTGAATAATGTCCTAGGGAGGGCATATAAGACGCGCGATGGAGCTTGAACGCTGTGATTTTGACTGATTGCACGGAATACAGAATAATACGTGCATTGGAGATAAATGCTTGTCATTAACCCGATGTAATGTTCACCGTCGTCCTTGTATGCGTGCAATGCATAAACCGCCCAAAGCCGTACCTGTACCTGATTGAATATTCATGAGTGTGTACGTCAAAACGTACCCGCGTCTGTTAAAAAATATTATTTTATTTACGATATGAATGTGTTTTGTGGTATAAACTGTTGGGAGAACAATGCATTTATGTGAGATGCCACAAATCTGTATCCAAATATCATGCGGCTACATTCGTTTATGTTATTTTTTACGTTTCAGTGGATATATGAAGGGTTTTTGACATCTGCTATACGATTATGTTATTGATGGTCACGAGTATTAATAAATATGATTTTTGGTCAAAGATGCTGCCACAGAAACGTGCGAAGACGTATTCATAAAGGAGAAGCATATTCTCGGAAGCATAAGGTAAAAGAATAAGGTCTTGCTTAGGAGAAAAAGGTAGAAGTATAAGCATATCCTTGTTTTCATATTCATAATGATTACCTTATACTCGCGAGGATATCCTCCAAGAAGAAGTATAAGGTTGACTTGTTCCAGCTTGTAGTTGATGTGGGAGTTCGTTCACTCAGCATCACTGACAGTTGTACTCCAGAGCTTACAAAGACCGTTCCATATTTTTACTGGATACAGTTTTTTATCAAATTAATAAGCATGTCATCCTCAAGTGATGAGGAAACTATAGAAAATAATGGCAACGACCAGCAGTTCATCGCAGATGAAATTGCCATTGCTCCCATTATTTTGCAAAAGTCACAAGTTCCAAAAATAAAAATGAGAAAGGACGATGCCTTGAAGAAGATGTTGAAAAAATACGAATCAACATTCGGTAAACCATTAGATACTAAAGGCTTATTAAAAAATCAACAACATGAAATCAAGATTGAAGAAAAACGATATCTAATAAAAAACTGGTCTTCGAATGAACACCCTGTATAATGTCATCTACACAAATGCTATCATTAAAAGGGTTATAAATGGATCGGTCATTCATCACATATGTCGGATACGTACGAAGAACTTGAGCTTTTGAAGAGGGCCATAGACCGGAATATCGAATTTGTTTACACGCTCGGAATTGCCCATACATCTAGAGTCAATCAATATCCCGGATCTTGCGAAAACAAATGAATTTGTCAAACGACCATTGACACTTGAAGCTGTGGGTGGCGTGTGCAGAAAGGGTTGTGTGTTGCTTTCTTGTACAGGGCCGTAGCGGGACAAAACAAAGATAAACGGTAGAGTATTCTAGGTTCGTAGATATTAGTAAAGGTTCAATCCGATTCAATCGACTCTGTTGTAACAAACACAGAGTACAAATGGCGAAGTCTGGCCTAAAGGACAATAATCAGTAATAGAATCCAAAAATATATCGTCTAGTCGGCCTTTGTACACCAATACATATCAGAAAGAGATATAAGATAAGATAATTTAAGCTAGACAGAAAAAGAAGTGTAAATATAAAACAATTCAGCATTTAACAATCAGATCTTATAGTTTTTTTTGAAAAGTTTCCAATAAAGTTTTGGCCAAATGAATTAATTAACTTGACCGGATTGTACGTGATCGAGCGTTGGAATACGGGTGTCCTGTATTGTAACAATGTAAGGAGATCGTTGTAAAGTTGTAAATAAAATTCCTATAAATAAACTTTTGCCTAAGGTAAGAGATAACGGAGGTTTTGATAGGGTAATTCGGGGAGTGATGGCGCACCTTTTTCTTTAACAGCTGTATAAATCGAAAGAAAGACCAAATCATACTCAAAACTTAAACTTTTATTCTTTGGTTATCAAGCAACAAATATCAAACACATTATTCAAATTAGGAAGTATACAGAAACATAAAAAGCTAGCTCTAAGGACATTATACAAAAATCCATCTAACCCGGAAGATGCGGTTGAGATGGCGCAGCTATTTCGGGTGAGATGGCGTACACATAGTAAGATAAAATATTTACTTCTTGGCATTGAATTCGTTATTCAAAACTGCTTTTGCACACCCGTTGCATAACTCACTATAACGTGAACATGTTTCGTGGTACCAAGACAAACATCGGATACATTTTAGCCATCATCAGGCTTTTTTGTTGTGGCATATGCCTCATTACAACCTCTACAGCACTCATCTTCTGAGCCTTCTGAAGAAGAATCATGTAAAGACACATCCGCTTCTGATTCTGAAGAAGTGTTTTCAACCAAATTTAATTTTCGACGGCGCCTACTACCCTTTTGTGTTTTCTCATTTTTATTTTCCACTTCCTTGTTACAATTTTCCTTGGATGTTTTTTCCTGCTTAGATTTTTTGTTTGTAATACTTTCAGCGGAGTTGAGTATTGACGCCACTTGTTTGCTGCGTTTTCTAACTTGCTGAACAGGTGTACTAGTACACGGTATGGGAGAAATATTATTTAACATTTTGCCAGGCGTCAGGTTATTTTTAGGAGGGCTTTCTGGTGGGGGAAGACTGTCCTTTGAACATCCTGGTTGAGGGTGATCCAGAATACTTGCTTGAGTTGTTATCTCTTGTTCGTTATTATGCAATTATTAACATTATCCTGAACATCTGTGGTCTCCGACAAAAATGCTTCATCCGGAATTGCTTAGGATTAAATGGTACGATACCTGTTGCCTTAAAGGCTTGCCACAGCATTACTTACTGTGGCAGACTTGACCCACGCCG